GCCGGCAGGCGGTCTCCGCCGTGACCCGCCGCGGGGCAGCCGGAGGGGCTGCGGCAGGCAGGCGGGCCGGCCCTGGTCGCCTCTGCGGGGGTGCATGGAGGCACCCCGCGCCCGCAGAGAGGTACCGGGCGGGGGGCCCTTGTCAGTCAGGGCTTCCCCTGAGGGGGCTGCGGTGGCCCGGGCCGTGCCGTGGGGGTAACCGCCTTTCCCCTCCCGTTATCCCCCCCCCTCCCCTGTGGTTTTGCAGGTGTGAATCCCCCGGAGGACAGCGCGCCTGCTCTGCTTGGCCCCCACAAGGCGAGCGGCCCCGGGTCCCCACCTCGCCGGCCTCGGCCGGGCTGCAGGAGGAACAAGGAGAGGGGCTCGGGACCTTAAAAATAGCGTCGCCCCCATAACCAGGCAGCTGCTGTCTCCTGAGAAATGAAGAAGTTTTTCGACTCGCGTCGGGAGCAGGGTGGCTCTGGCCCCGGATCGGGCACCAGCGGCGGTGGCGGTGGCAGCAGTGGCCCGGGCAGCGGGTACATCGGCAGGGTGTTCAGCATCGGCCGGTACCAGGTGACGGTGGACGAGGTGCTGGCGGAAGGTAAGACCCCCCCAGTCCCTTTTGCGGAGCGCTCTGCCTTTGCTTCTTTTCCCTCCCCCTTTCCCTCACAAAACTGGAAAGGGAGGCTTTGGCCTTTCCCCTGCCCTCCCCCTCTATCCCTAGCTCCCCCAATATTTCATTTTCCTTGACGGACTTGCAGTCCGGTGGCATCTGCAAGCTGACATTTCTGGTCTTCCCATGTGTAAAGCTAGTGTGGGTTTGCTGGATTTGGTTTGGGTTTGGTGGGTTTTTTTTTTAAAGGCTTTACAAATTGAGGGGATTTCAAAAGGTAATTGTTTCCCACCTTCCCTAAACTGGGAATTTAAAAAAAAGTAAAAACCAAAATTGTCAAATGTTTGGCTGCAGAGCAAGGTGCTGTAAATAAAGAAGGCAGTGGCCTTCACTCTTAACTTTCTTCAGCTGGTTGCCTCCTTTCCTACACTAAGCAGAGAGGAATAAAACACTGGAGTAAACTCCTTGTAGATATGTCATGTACATAGGTAGCCTGAGTAGAGCAAGCTGTGATCTGAGATGAGGGATTTCTGGCTTTGCAGGGGAAGCAGTAATCCCAATTGCATTTTTTCAAAATAAAACAGTTAAAAGAACTAAAAATGAACAGTAGGGATTATAAAACTCTTTACGTGTACAGTCCTTGCAGTGCAGCAAGCTGCTGGTGGTATTTTTTTTAATTTTAACCAGTACTGCTGCTTTAACTATCATTTTACATTTCATTTGTTTGGGCTATAAGGAACCTTATGAATGGCTCTGGCTGGTAACCTTACCCTCGACCTTCAGAGAGGTGTTGGCCTCCTTAGACCTGCTCCTGGTCCCTCTCCTTTGCAGCGTCCTTTGCAATTTCAGTCAAAACAGTGTTTTGTTTTGATCTTGTAATTGCGAAGGAGAGGGTAGCTGCTGTATGAAAGCCGAGTGGGAGGACCTGTGTTGGCTTCTACAGAAAGAACCCTAAAATGGAAAAGGGACTCTGTACGCTGTGTGCATTCAGGTTTGTAAAAAGTCACCACAGTGTACAAGAAAACAGATCTGTGACCATCTTTCAGACATGGTTTCTGATATGTTCTGCTGCATGCTGAGCTGAGAGGAGCACCAAAACCAGTCCTTCAGCTAGTCACTATAGTGATTTTTTTCCTGACTTGAAATTTGCAATATAGGTTTGCCTTGGCTGATATTTCCAAGGCCCTTTTGGCCCTAGAAGCTTAGGAACTATATGAACTAAACGTGAGAAGCTGTCACAGTCTTTTTTTAATGGTTGGCCTCATCCTGGTAACATGGGAAAACAGAGGCTTTTTTTGCTGATGAATAATCTGTTGGCAGGTTCTGCCCCAGTGCTGACAGCACCAGGAAGTGAGCCTGTGTGTCACTGGGCTCTCTCCTGCTTGGCAGGCCTAAGCTGCAGCCACCAAAGGTGGGAGGTAGTAGCACAGATTGTGCAGGAGAAGTGCTTCCCCTTCGCACCTCGCTGTCCTGGAGGATCTGCTGCTTGTGGGGGCTTTTGCCGGTGACTCCTGGTTTCTTGGCTGGCCTCTGGGATGGAGCATTGCCTAGGGTTGGCTACAACTCTTAGATCGGCATGCACAGGCCAAGTGAGGTGCAGGAGGCCTGTAAAATGGGTGCTGTGTTCTCTTCCTGCCCACGCTATAAGGCAAAGGAAGTTCTTTTGGTGAAATGTGCTATGCAGGTGTTTTCCTCGCAGTTAGTCTCCTGGTGTGGGCAGTCCGAAATCCCTCTGCGTGGTGAGTGAAGTCTCCAAAGGGACAAGAGCAAGGTGGCTTGTAGGTTTGCAGGTTGTTGCCTTTTGATGGGAACAGAGGGTTGAAAATGCCATTTGCTTTATAGGAGGGGTAGGTCATCTGGGGTGTCAGTGTGGGTCAGAAGCACTGTAGCTTTGCATACCTGTGGCCTTTTGGTGTAGCTGTGTGTACTCCCCAAGTGCTGGTAAGCAGCATTTTTTCACTGACTTGGCTGGAAACCTGGGAAGCTCTCTGGCAACCTGGTCCCTGCACTACTGACATCTGAGTCCTCAGCTGGAAAACTTTTTTGTATCTGCAGTGAATTTTGGTGGTTCAGCAGTGTTGAAAAGGCAACTTGGGAAGTCTTGGCTATTTCTGCTAAAAGGAAAAGTCCCCTGGGAAGCGCTTTGTAGGAGGAGGAGTATCCTGTCTGGGAAAGAAACATCTCTCGTCCCCATTGCTTTAGAAGGGAGAGGAGAGGCCTGTGTTTTGGTGCAGCATGTGAAGCCTAGAAAAATAAAGGAGATGTGAGAGTGGTTTAAAAGAAAGAGTCTCTGAAATGATGATGGATGGTGTGGGGGATACTTGAGTTGCAAGCCTGAGGAACTGGTTGAAGCGGAAGTTTTTGAATTAAAGTGTTGGGATTTACCTCTGTTTGACAAAGCTGTGGCTGGTCACTCTCAATTCTGCTGAGCAACCCTGCTGAAGATGACTGCTCCCTGGCCCAGGATGGGAGTCCTTAATGCAGGCTCTGTGAAGTGTGCCAGATGGCAGATGTCTCCACGTGCTCACAGTCTCTTGCGTAGATCCCCCAAAATATCTGCTGCGGTTAGGTACGCCCCCCACCCCCTTAAAAATAGTTGTGTCTGGATACTTGCTTTCCTGGGCGAAGAGGAACATGTCTTCCTTTTGGAAAGAAGTAGATGGGAATAATATAGAAGGAACTTGAATGGTTGGTTGTCCATGGTGTTATAATACCAGTGAATCAGGTGGGTTTTTTGTTTTGTTTTTTTTTTCCCCAAACAGTATATGGCAATAGGTGATTGATTCTTAGTTGGATCTTTGTAGTCATCTTGCTCTAATCCATATAATAGCACAAATAATCTCTTGAAAAATTCCCTGCAAAGTTTGCATGAGGATTAACTGCTGTGGGAGGTCAGCACTGCTGGCCTTGGAGTTCTGCAAGGCCAGGGTTAAAGTCGGTGGCATCATCGTAGAGTTCCAGTATGGGCTGAGCGGGGGTCATTACTGACTTTAAGGTGACTGGTGTTTCCGGGAGCTGAGGTGAATGCCCAGGAGGCGTTTGAGTGTGTGGGTGAGTCAGGCTACTATCTTACTGTTTTGTTTATGGAAAGAAACCAAAACAGTGTGATCAAATTGGATGCTGCTTTTTGTTTCTGCCTGTGTGTAGGGAAAAAAAAAAACCAAAATAAAAAACTCCACCCCAAAACCTCACGCTGGAGTTATAAGGAGGACAGTGTCCTTCTGATGAGGACCAGAGCAGCAGAAACATTGAGAAGGATGTTGCCAGAAAGCAGAAATTTGCTAAGGAGTTTGTGGGATGTGCCAGTGTGGCAAAGTACTACAAGCCACATGTGCTCCTCTGAGCTAAAACTGACAAGGTGGGGATTGCCCCAGTGTCCAGTTTTCAGGGGGCTATGTTTTGTGTTACTCTGTGTACTTGCAATATTGTAAGAGAGTGCTGAATCGATCCAAGGTACATCAGTGTTGATGGGGTGCACGTTTGAGCTAGGATTTTGCTTGTCTTGGTCTATTTCTAGCAAAAGATACAGGCTGTGTTTCTTCAGGTCTGTGAAAAGTCACTTTTTCCATTAGTAGTATTTTTCTGAAGGTGCTACTTATAGTCTTTTTGACTTAAAATGTGTAAGTTGGGGGATTCAGGTTTAATAATTGTCAGATATTTCGCTGAAATTTTTTTCAGATACATGCCTCTGTGTGTGCTGCTAGCTAATGTATATTTCAAACTATTTAATGGTAGACATTATAAACCAATGCAAAATCGGCTTAAATTGGCCGGCTATGTTTTTTACTCCATTTTGAAAAGACGGAAGTTGCAGGAAGGTTTCATCGTGATTTTGTTTAGCAGACCTGCAGGCCAACGCATGCATGAAGAGCTTGGTAAGGCTGTGAATGCACAACCTGTGCCCAGTGGGGGAAGGTGGTCCCCTGAGCTGCCTAAATGTGTGGCTGGGCTAATTGCAGAGGCCTTCTGCCGACCCCTGCCTGGCTTACCCTCAGCGCTTTCTTTCCCTAGAGTGTGCAGCACCATAACCTGAAGTCCCTGAACTTACACATGAGCTTCTTCTGAAATAACTTCACATTAAAACAAACCCCATCTGAGGTAAATTTTGTGGATTTACATGATCCTCAACCCAATTCCAGTGTGGCTGGGTTCAAGACACCACTTTGAAGTGTATTTTGTCAGTTATTGCCTTCTAGCTTCTGCCAAGTGCCAGCTGGTAATCAGCTGACCAGTGACATTTGGATTAGGAGTTAAACTATTTCTCCTCTTGGAATGGGACATGTGATTTCCCCGCCCCCCCCTTGCTTTTCCCGTGTACCTTGTGAGGCAGGGCATGTACAGTGCGCTCTGCACTGCTAGGTAGGATATTGGCTCCTCTCTGTTTTAGTAGTCTGGTTTTTTTGAGTGTACAAGCCAGGCAAACTGGTGAAGAATCCCAAGTGAGTGTTATTTGGAAAATGTTGAGGTATCCCAAGTGCTTTGGTGCTTTTAGCAGCACAGATTTTGCGGGGCAGAGTATGTGCCATGTCCCTAGATGTAATCAGGAAGGAAAAGAAGGTGTTAGTGGATTTAACTGTGTACGAAGTTGTATAGCCCAGAGACTCTTGTCATCTAGCCTCACTTGTAAGCTTTACGCAACATGTCAGAGAATGAGTCTGGGATTGTACATGGGGGTGGCTAGTTTCTTACGTAACAGCTATATGACCTAAAAGCATATTTAATGGCAGTGTTAGTCCAGTGCAGTCATGAAAGGAAAAGTTTTCTGCAGTCATCTTCCTAGGAAAGAGCCTTCCATGTTAAAACAAAGTAGTTTCTAATTCAAGCAGTCCTGCAACAGGCTTACGAAGTTGTCAGTTACTTAGTATAAGAAAGCTTAGTTTTGGGATTCTGGCTGAGGAAAATACAGGGTTTAACTATCCAGCTCAGGTCTTGCAGAAGTGTTCTAGTAGTTATGTGTGAACAGGTAACTAACCTCTGGTTGCAACACC